TTTGATCCAGCAATACCAATACTAGGTCTGTATACCAAAGAGATCATAAAAATGGAAAAGTTCCAATATGTACAAAATTATTTATAGCAGCTCTTTTTGTGGTGGCAAAGAATTCGAAATTGAGGGGATGCCCATCAACTGGGGAATGGCTGAACAAGCTGTGGTATATGAACGTAATGCAATGCTATTGTGCTAAAGAAAAGATGAGCAGGTGGATTTCAGAAAAACCTGGAAAGACTTACACAAATTGATGCTGAGTGAAGTGAGCGGAACCAGGAGAACATTATAGACAGTAATAGCAACATTGTTCAAATTTTGTTTGTCTTAGCTTTTCTCAGCAATGTGACGATCTAAGACAATTCCAAGACTCACGATGGAAAATGCTATCCACATCCAGAGAAAGAACCACAGAGTCTGAATGTAGATCAAAGCATACCACTGCTCTCTCTCTCTCTTTTTCTTTCTTTTGGCTTCCCCTTTTGTTCTAATTCTTCTTTCACAACATGACTAATGTGGAAATATGTTTAATATAATTGTACATTCATAGTATATATCAGATTGCCCACTGTCTTGGGGAGGGGAGGGGGAAGGAGGGAAGGAGAAAAATTTAGAACTCAAAATCTTATAAAAGCGAATATTGAAAACTATCATTACATGTAATTGGAAAAAATAAAATACTATTAAATGGAAAAACAAAACTATCCCCTACTGAGATCACTGTGCACAACAACAGTAATGTTGTAAGGATGATCAACTGTAAAAGAGTTGGCTACTCTGATCGATACAATGATCCAAGACCATTCCAAAGGACTCATTATGAAAAAATGCTATCCACCTCCAAAACTAGAATTTTCTGAGTGCAAATTGAAGTATAATTTTCTCACTTTCTTTATTTTTCTTGCTTTTGGGGAGAACTATGGCTAATATGGAAATACGTTTTGCATGATTTTGCATGAATAATTGGTATCATTTGCTTGTCTTATCAGTGGGTGTGGGAAGGAGTGGGAGGGACAGAGAGAATTTGGAACTCAAAATTTAAAAAGAAAAGAATGTTAAAAATGAATAATTTTTGAAAAACTTTAAATAGGAAGCTGCTACCAGGAGTGGAATCTCAAAGTTCTGAATCTTGGAGGTGGTGCCTTCCTGAGAGACAGTGAAGGCTGAAGTATGGCCATGCCTGTGTGTGTCTGGAGAGGGAGAAGGGGGTTGTTGAAGTTGATGCCAAGGAATTGTATGGTCAGGTTGGCAGAAGAGTCATTGATATGTACACTGAGGTGCCTGTGGAGGAAGGCATAAAGACACAACTTGACCTAGGCATGGCATTCACTGAAAATGTTGGGTAAATGTCCTGGAGGTTGGTGGATGACAGCAATAAGTATGGGGAGGAGATGGTATAAGTGGACTGCAGGCACCTCAAAACTGAAGAATGGCTGGTGGTTGAGGAATAATCAAAATCCAGCATGGGTGGAGGGAGAACAGGGAGTATATTTGCTCCTTCTCTTAGTTATGTGAGTCAGATTACAAGAGGGGATGCAGTGGGAAAGTGGAAAGTGAGTGGGTTGAGATGGATGAAGACAAAGAGGGGTTATTGGGAGAGGGAAAGGATAATCAAATTGAGTGGAGGGGAAGAGAGATATGAGGGGAGCTGGAAGACTGATTAGAATAAGATGTTTGGATGGTAGGTAGCAGAGGAATACAACTTGGGAAGAACACTAAATTGCATGAATTCATGCACTATTATACTAATGGTGAACAAATGTCTTAATTTTTAGTTTGTAATACAAAACAAAGCAACCCCATCCCCACCCCCCCAACCCCACTCCCTGCCACCACCACTGAATTTAAGATTAAACTTAATAGGAATGCATCTATTACACAAATCAGAAAATCTACTTTCCAAGTATCAGAGTAGGGTGGAGAGGATGACCACTTGTGATAGTGTAGATTACTTTTATGTTTGGATTGGACTGGGTGACTAATGAGCTCTTTTCCAACTCAAAAATTCTGTGATTCTGTAAGTCTGGAGTCAGAAGCCCTGGGTTTGAATCCTGCCACCACCTCTTATCTGGTTGTCTTTGGGTAAGTCATATCACACTTTGGTTTCTGAGTCCTCATCTAAGCAGTAAGATGCTCGGTTTGATCTCTCAGTTCCTTTCTTGCTCTAAAGTCTGAACTAAGGCACAAGACTGGAAGCTTGTGTCCAGGAGGACAACTTGATGGTATGTGCCACAGGCAGAACTCCCCCCACTGTAGCCTTGGGGATCTAATGTGTCTCTGAGTCTAAAATAGTATTTAGAACACTACTGCCCTTTCTAATGTGTTGCCGGGGTCTCACCTTTACATGGGCATCAGCCTCCTGGATTCCATGGGCAGGTGTCCCAAGCAGGGAGAGGATAGTCCAGACAGAGGCACAGCATGGACAAAGGTAGGAAATAGGGAGAGGGAACCCAGTGTGTGTGGACCAGAAGTCAGGGGAGATAAGATTGGAGAAGTAGGGTTGGGTTAGATTATGGAGAGCCTTGAATGCCACGCTAGCCATGGTATCATGAAAAGCTTACTGGACTTGGAATCAGAATATGGGGTTCTGAAACATGGTGTACAGCATTCTCGTGCACTTAGCATGTGCACTACAGCTATCTGTATTGGTCATCCTGTCTCTCTCCTCCTACCCAATACAGTCAGCACTCCCTAATTCCCCAAACCCAGGAAGGTGCTCACACAGAATAGACATTTTTATCGAGTTCTACTGAGTGGGCAGCAATTGGAACTGATTACGTCAAGTGTCAGAGGCAAGCGCTTCCTCCATGAAGGTGCCTGGAGCTGCCTTGGGTCTCCCGCCCCTCCCCCACTGTTGGCCCCCCCTTTATCTCCCCCTCAAGGCCCCACCCCTTGTCACTGCCCGCCACTTCTCCCAGGCCCTCCGAAGGGACAGGACCCACTGCTGCCAGCTGTGTCCGGCTGCTGCAGCTGCTGCTCCAGCTGTGGTCTCTGGCAGAAACTTTTCTCCATCCCCCTCCCCCTCCAACTGGGGGTAGGGAAGGAAGAAAGAAGAGGCCCCCCTCCTCTCAAACTCTGAGAGAGAGGTGGGGGGAGGTGACAAGCAGGCCTGGGGCCAGCATGGAACGAGCTGGGCCCCCTCACTGGCCTGGAATTGGGTCCCTCTGTGTCCTACTCAGCGCAGGGGCTGCTTGGGCAACCCCTGCACCCCAGTGGGAACTGAAGCGTGAGCCAGGGCTGGAAGGTCCATTGTTTGAGAGCAAAGGTAAGCCCTAGCATTGGGAGTCCTCCCTCTGTCTCCAGCCTCATTGCCTCCTTGGTGGGTGGTACTAGAGAGCTTGAAACAAAACCAGGAATCTGAGCACCCAGCTGGAGCCACAGCCATCTCTACCCCCATCCTCCCCCCCCACAACTGCCCCCCTGCCCCCCACCTGGCCTGCGGAAGAGCTGACCAGGATCTCCTGGAGAAGACTTCATCTTCTGAAGTGGGGAGGGGAGTCAGGAGGCTTTGTGGGTGGAGGGGCATGAGGAGAAGATGAAATTTGTAAACAGTGACTGTGTGTTTTCATGGATGGGCGTACCTCATTCCCTGTGGCCCTTTCTTCACACTCTGCTGTTGGCCTTATCTGCGTGGAAAGGGTGCCTGTAGGGCCTGATATGGTTCCTTCCTGCCTCCTCCTCCCTCCAAGCCTGGGGGAATCAGTTTTGGGGCTTTCTGAGAGGCTGTCCTATGTACTGGCAAGAAGAGTGAGAGCCCTGGGCTCCAGTTCCAACTCCACCAGTGGTTATGTGACCTTGGACAGGTCAATTTTCTTCCCAGAGTCTCAGTTTCCTCCTCTATAAAGTGGGAGATAAGAATCCTTGCACTCACTACTCCATAGTCAATGTGAATTATTATTATCATGCAGTAGAAAGAGCAATGTTTGGAGTCACAGGCCAGGGGATAGAAACCCCATTCTGCTATTTATTAGGTGCATGACCTTAGATACTCAGCTGCCTAATGCCTCAGCTTCTCCCACCACAAAATGAAGAAGATGGACTATCTCCCAAGCCCCTTCCAGCTCCATATGATTTTCTTTCTGGGGAGGGAGGGGGAGGCGTGAAAGGGATGGTGATGAGTAATAGGACTCAAGCCCCAGGCCCTTGGCAGGAAGATAGACCATTTCTTCGTTGCTCCGGGAGCCCGTTTTTGAGCTTAGCTCTCCCTTTCTGCCTAGGCTCAGGGAAAGGACAAAGACAGAGGGGAGAGTCAAAGGTCCAGCAGGCTTGAAGACGCACTGGGAGTCTGGGAAACAAGTCTGCCAGGGTCTCTGCTATGAATGCTGAAGGTGTGGGTGGGCTTCAAACAGTCTGAGGTATCACGGGAGCAGAGTTCAGTGCCCAAGACAGGACCTCAAGGGGGTTACAGCTGCTGATGTTTGTAGCTTTCCACCCCTACTCTCCAACAGTCCAGGTGTAGGAGTGGAGGGTCTACTGTTCATAGCATTGGAGAGATGGTGATTATGTTCCTGATAGCAGGGGGTGATGGGGTAAAGGGAAATAGGTCCTTACATCCAGGCTTTCTTATCAGCCTGGACACACAGGGGTCTGGAGGAGGGGAGCAGCTGAATGAGACACACAGAGGGCTGCTTGGGGCTGAGTGGGGATCATGGAAGAAGAATGTGGCCATGTGCAGCAGGTGTAGGGTTTGAGGGGCTGCCATCAATTAATTAACCAATCAAAAGCATCTATCCAGGACCACAAACTGTGCTAATCACTGGGGGTATGAAGAAAAAGTGAAAAAGTCCCCACCACCCAGGGAAATGACATGTGCCCACCTAACCACATCCTTCTATACCAGAGTCATGCAGTCATCCGGCATCACCTTTCAGACTTCTACATTGCTTCATCATCATATTCATTCTCCTCATCCTGAGTTCCAGAGCAATCCAGAGCGTATATCTGGATAGTTTTTCATTCATTAATACAATTTCAACCTTTTCTTCATTAATTAATCAGTTGACTCAGAGCACCACCTCAGTTTATTAGACATTATTTGATTAACTAGAGAAACCACTTTCCCCATTCTCATCTCTGTATCAAAACCCTGTGCTAGGATTAATTCAATATCAAATAATTTACCACAGGATATATTAAAACATAATAATAGCATAAAGACTTGAATAGTTACAATATTTTTAGCTTCAAGAAATGTCACAGGTAGTCTCCAATCCTCACTGTGATCACAGCTGATTTTTTAATTCCCAGTTTTCAGTTCTCTCAAGCTGCCAAGCAAAGGCTCTTCTCAAGAATTCTTGTCCTCCTCTTCCCAAAATAAAGGTTCAAATAGTTCCATCAAGAGAGAAGGTCTCATGTAACTGAGGTGAAAAAATAAAATACTATTAAAATAGTTACAAACCCCCCCAAAAAACCCCAAAATTCTTAACCTGGGATCCAGAAATATGCTTTTAAAGTGTTTCAATAATTGTAATTCAATTGGCCTCTTTTGTTTAAAAAAAATAGAGAGAAAAACTGGAAAACAATCTCTTCAGCTTTTCCAAAGCCATCACTCTTTCCTCCCAACTGAGGGTTAAAATGTCTATTTCCACAAGATTATATTTTGGCTCTTGAAACTACAGTAACTCTAGTCTCTGTAGGAGAGGCTTTTGAAACAAGTGTTGCAGTAAGACAGATAAAATGAATACAATGTAGTTTGAGGAGGGAAGAAGAGCTTCATGCGGTAAGTGTAATCTTGAAGGGAACCAGGGATCTTGAGAAGGGGAGGATGTTCCGTGAGTGACGGACAGACAATGCAAAGGCACAGAGATGAGAGATGATGAGTCAGATAAGAGTGTCATGTGTGAGGAACAGAAAGGAGGCCAAAGGGATGGCTAGACTACAGCTCCTGCAGAGGGGAGTAGGGTGTAAGAAGACTGGAAAGTTAGGAAGAGGCCAAGTGAGGAATTGCTTTAAATGCTGAAGAGATCTTAGAGAGAATCAGAAGCCACAAGAATTTACTGAGTGGATGATACAGTCACCTAAATTTCGGGAAAATCACCTGTGTGGTTTGGCATTTCCAGGCTGGAGGCAGGGAGACCAAATGGGGTTGAAAGCAACAGTGTGTGTGATAAGAGACAAGGGCCTGACTTTGGTAGCAGAACCTTCTTTCCCTGGGCTCCGGGGGAAGGGGATGGGATGGGGAGGGCCTCCTCCTGCTTTTTTCTGGCCTGCCCACTGATGTGGCCTTCCATCTTTCACCACCTTGACCCCCCCATTCCCCACTGCAGTAACTCTGCTGTTGGCTGAGGAGAAAGAGAAGCCCATATGCTTCACACAGAGATTGGAGGATCTGGTCTGCTTCTGGGAAGAGATGGCCAGCTTGGGATCCAGGAACTATAGCTTCTTCTACCAGTTAGAGTGAGTCCCAGCACATCTTTTGTCCCCACCTCTCCCCCCCATTCCCACCCTTAACTCCCTGATCAGAGGAGTTCATCAGAGGAGGAGGGGAGAGCTAGGGGACGTTGCTTCCACTCTTGGTGACTACAGCACCTCTGTGTCCCTTCCCTCTGTCCCTGTATCTACACAGGCAGGATTTTTGGAAACCCTGCATGCTGAAGGTTGTCTGGACAGCAAGAGACACCATTCGCTACACTTGCCCATTCCCCCTGTCTGATGCCTCCAGCTTCATCCCACTAGAGCTGAAGGTCACAGCCACCCCCAATGGCACAGAGCTCCACCGGACCATCTATATCAATGAAGTAGGTATGGCTTCCAGAGGGCCCTGCCCCACTCCCCTCCCCTCTAGCACAGGAAGGATCACATGGCCACCAATCCGGTTCTCCTGGCTTGGCCAAAGGACCAGACCCTCTATGTCAACTCCCTGGTTCTGGTTCCTGGGGAGGTCTGGGCCCTCAGTCTGCTGCCAGCAACTTGTCTGTTTGTAGGTTTCCTACATCTCTCATACCCCTAACCCTGTGCCCCTCTCAGTGTTTCTGGACCCACCCTCTGGCTTAACAGTGGAACAGATGGAGACCCCCAGCCAGGTGGCCCTTCACTGGCTCCCACCTCCGATGGCCCATGTGACCAAGGACATCCACTATGAAGTCAAGTACTCGGAAGTAGCTGGCACCATGGAGCAGAGGGTGAGAACCCACACCCAGCCTTTTGGACTCCCTTACCCTCCACCCTCACCCACTGCCTTGCCTGCCCTCCTCACGGCTCTCTCCCCATCCTGCAGGTGAACATCCAGGAAGGCAGGACAGATTGTGTTATTGCCAACCTCCGTGGGCACACTCACTATACCTTTACTGTTAGGGCAAAGATGGCAGAGCCCAGCTACAGTGGCTACTGGAGCTCCTGGTCCCAGCCAGTCACAGTGTTGATAGCCAGTGGTGAGTCGAGAGGGAGTGGAGGGAGGAAAGGAGGGAGTAGTGAGGCCTCGGTTTGTAACCAGTGGTGTGGAAGAGGGCTTCTGGCTTGACCCGCCCCCTCTTTCCCTCCTCAGAACTGGACCCTCTGATCCTGAGCATGTCTGTGATACTCACTGTCATTCTGCTCTTGCTAATCATCTCAGGCCTCCTCTCACAGCGCAGGTAAGCCCCCTCTCCCTGCTCTCCCACCCCAGGGAAGCAGTGCTGCAGTGAAAAGAATGATGGTCCTAAAGTCGAGGACCTGAGTTCCAATCGCCGTGTGACCTTGAGGAAGTCATTTAACCCAATGGGTGTCAGATTTTTGATTGAGGGGGCCGTACTCAAAGGTCTCTAGCGTTGGCCCAGCTGGCCAAGCAGGCCCTTCCAGCTTTATTTTTCCTCGATCCCCTCAGGTTTCTGAAACAGATGTTTTGGCCGGGCATCCCTAGTCCAGAGCATGGGTTTGAGGGCCTCTTCACCATCCACAGAGGCAATTTCCAGGTAGGTGGTGAAGCCTGGGCCAGACTCTGCTCTCTCCCCTTGGGAAGGCCTGCAAGGCCTCCAGATCCCAGGCTCCTGGGCTGAGACCCTCCTTGTAGCCAGGCCCTGAGGTCATGCATCCAGAGGGGCTCCCTGGGCTAAGCTCGGTGTTATTATTACAGCTGTGGCTGGGACAGAGCAACGCCTGCTTGTGGTGGGGGCCGCTTGGCGCTTACCTGGAGGAGCCACCAGCCAGGCTGGAAGTACTCTCTGAGCGCCGATGGGTGGCTCCTGCTGAGCCAGCCCGGGAGGAGGAGCCCCTGCTGGTGCCAGAGGCCAGCCGGCTGGCCCAGGGAGCCAAGGACGACTACCTCGTGCTGGACACAAGGCTGCTGCCCCACAGTCCAGCAGCTGGGCCCCTGGGGCTGGGTTCCTGCAGCCTTCGGGGCTCAGGCAGCAGGGAAAGCAAAGTCCTGGAGACTGAGGGGGACCCAGCCGTGGAAACAGATGCCAAGTCTGTTTCCTCTTCCACGGCCTCAATCTCAGCCCTAGAACCTGAGCAGGAAGAACAGGCGTCAGCCTCCAACTTTGAGTACACCATCCTGGATCCCAGTTCTCAACTGCTGTGCCCTCGAGCCTCCCCACCCTCCTCAACCCCTCAGCCCCCTGACCTTAAGTATCTCTATCTTATGGTGTCAGACTCTGGAATCTCGGCCGACTACAGCTCTGCTGGCTCCCAAGGGGCCCCTGGCAGCTCACCTGAGGGCCCCTACAGCAACCTCTACGAGAACAGCCTTCTCCAGCCCAGCCCAGAGCCTCTGCCCCCGAGCTATGTGGCTTGCTCCTAGTGGGCAGCCTCAGGACCAAGGCTGGCAGCTCTCCTAGGAGCAGCTGCAGGAAGGCAGGAGGAAGGGGGCATGCTTCCTTCTCCTTCCTTCCTCATTCCTCGCAGAGGGCCAGGGGGGGCAGGGACGTGGGAGGAAGGAGGTGGCACAGCTGCAGGGCACCACAGCCTCTGAAGACCAGGGGTGGGGGGAGGGGGGAAATCACTGTCCAGCAGGCCCTGCTTTGCCCTTTTATAAATATTTTTGTAATAAATTTAATTTTCTTTCCATGGGAGTCACACCTTCTGAAAAGAAAGGAGAAAAGAGGACTTGACTGTAAACGGGAGGGAGGCTGGAGAACCACGAAGCTCAGGCGTCTCCAGGAGGGAGGACAGAACAGCCAGGGGAGGGGGGACTGAGGAAGCAACATGGGGTCCCTTCCCTTCTCTGGGACTTGGTTTTCTCCTCTGTGAAATCATGGTAATGGGTGGGGTGGTGATCTCATGGTACCTTCCAGGGCACAATGTTACAATTGTAGGAGATGGATGAGGCTGGAGGGACAGTATCAGGCCCAGGAACCAGGAAAGGACCACTCCCACCCACCCTCACCCCGCCCAAAACTTCCATCTCAGCCTGGGATGGTGGTAAGGCCTGATCAGAACATCATTTATTCCATGTGAGAAGGGCAAGTGCAGCTCACCTTCCTTCCCCCCCATGTCCTCTACTGCCCAGGCTCCACAGCTCCTTCCACACTCCTAGCCCACCGCACTGGTGAGGAAGAAGCCACATGGAGCGTGGTGACCACCTCCTCACCCCCGTGGCCCAGGCACAGAAGACTTGTTGGGGATATTAGACAGTGTCACAGCATTTTACCCCACAGTGACAAGAGAGCACAGCTGTCAGGATCCAACTGGACTTACGCCCATGGCAGTGTCTCCACCCACCTCCAGACAGCTGCTCTCAGATACAAAGGCAATGTGGCTGGGGAGAGACAAGGTCCCGTAAAGGCTGCCCCCATCTCAGCTGGGGCTGCTGGGCTCAGCTTTCTGAGATGGGTGCTGGGATGCTTGGCAGCTCACTTGGGAAATGGCCATTTCGCCATCGTGTCCAAAACTCAAGGACCATTCCTGCTTGGGGAAGCCTGGCCCACTGGAGAGGCGGGCCCTGAAGCACTGCTCAGAGTCCTGGGGCCATGCTGCTGCCAGGTCTGGGGGCTCAAGCTCTAGCCAGAGGCACGTGGGCAAGTATCTCTGGAGCACTGTCAGTTGGAGGGAAGCTGCCTCCGGCTCAGCCTCAGCAGGGCCTCGCATGGTGACCAGGAGTCCACAGCCACTGCCTGAGCAGCCTGAGAAGTGGGCGGCCGTGTCCACCAGCAGGGCTGCCAGGTGGGCACATGCCTGGGCTCCAGAGGTCTCTGCCAAGTACTCGTCTATCCCATCCAGCAGCAGGAGGGAGGGGGGCTGGGCTGCTCTCTCGTGCATGGAGCTCAGAAGCTGCAGCAGCTCCCTCAAGGATGGCGGATACAGGAAGTGGATTTTCTAAAAGAAAGGAGGCAAAGGGATAAGATAGTAAGGGCTGGCCTTCATGTAGCACTTTAAGGTCTGCCAAGCCCTTCACACTGGTGATCTCCCAGATCCTCACAGCAACCCTGGGAGGTGGGTGATGTTATCATCACCATTGGTAAGGATGGCCCAGTGACTTGGCCATCCCACTAGTGAGTCCCTGACGCCAGATTTGACCTTACTCCAGGTCCTGCGTCAGCCTCAGGGAATCTTCCACTGTGCCCACTAGGGAAAATAACTGAAACAAGCCAGAGGGGGGAAAAGAATCCCAAAGGTCAGAACTGCAAGGGAGCTCTGACCACAGAGCTTCCAATGGCCCCATCTCCTAATGAGCCAAGCCCAAACTGCTTAGCTTGGTATCCAAAGCCCTACAATAGTTAGCCTCTCCTCCCCTCCCTTTCAGCCTAGTTGCCTCATGCTTCCCACAAATTTAGATTCATCCCAGGCCTTCAACAAGAAACTTCTTTTATCTTTCCCCAGTCTAATCCAAATCCTACCCATTCTTCATGGCAGAGATCACAAAACCCTGTCCCATTCCTTGCCTCAGGCCACAAGGATACATCCTATATGCTCACAAGCTGAGGTGGTCTCACCCTGGATGCCATCCTTTACTATACACACCTATTAGTCATCATATGTATACTTCGTCCAGTCAATTCAATTCCACAAACATTAGGTAGGCACCTACTATGTGCAAGTCATGGGAGTAGGTTCTGAGGATACAAAGAAAAAAATGACAGGGAGTACCTGAAGGGAGCTTACATTCTACTTGGGAGACTGAGGCCTGTACACAGATGGTATCTAATTAAAGTTAGAATGGGAAGGGGAAAAAGAGAGAGAAAGCTAGAGAGAAGTAAACATTTTGAAACTCCCACTTTGAGGGTGAAGAGTGGGGATGGGGGAGCTCTAGGAGGATGGAGAAAGATCCCAGGGGGAGATGAGTGGGGAAAACCTTTCAGGAATGGTGGCTAGACCACAAAAACGTCCACAGGCAAGAAGAAAGAGCCCATCCAGCCAGAGGAATGGCCAGCCAGTGGTCCACTTTCACTGCAATGGGGGGTAAGCAGACAAGACCATGTGACACATGGCTGAGAGGGTAGTTTGAAGCCTGGTCGGGGAGATCCTTCGGAGCAGGCAAGTGACAAAGATCATTTTGGCCACTGTGAGGTGGACAGATTAGTGACGGGGGTGGGGACTGGAGACAGAGAGACCAATCTGGGGGTAACAGTCCAGGTGAGAAGTGACGGGGGGCACCGCACTAGGGTGGTGTCTGTGTGAATGGAGCCAAGGGGATGGATTTGAGAGTAGTACTGAGAGGATTTAGCACCTGACTGGGAGGAGAAGGGGGACAGGGAAGAGCCAATGGTGACTCCAAAGTTTTGGGACCAGGTGACTGGAAAGGATGGGGGTGCTAGCAACTGAAACAGGGTCACTGGGAGGTGGGGCAGGTTTAGCAGAGAAGATAATGAATCCATTTAGGACAGGCCGAGTTTGAAGCATTCGTGGGATGTTCAGATAGAGATGTCCTGAAGGCAGTGGGGGATGTGGGAGTGAATCCAGAGATTAGGGCTGGATATCTAGATTTGAGGGCCTTCTACACAGAAGCAATAATTAAACTCATGGGCACAGATGTCTGCCAAGGGAGAAGGAAAGGGGACCCAGCACAGAGCCAGGGGACAGGGATTGGGGAGGACACTGTGGAGGGAGAAGGTGATACATGAGCAGGAAATGAGAAGGAGGAGCAGCCAGGCTGGGATCGAGAGTGACCAGGAGAAGGCACTGGTGGAAGGGGCGGAAAATAATGTCCATTGTTACAGAAAGGTCAGGGATGGTGAGGACTGAGAACAGACCATCCCATCGACCAGTTAAGATTTGATCTGTGATCTTGAGGAGAGAAGTTTTCTTCAAATAGAACAGTTAGAAGCCAGGGGTTCTAAAGAGGTTGAGGGGTGAATGGGGAGTAAGGAAATGGAGTAAATGTCAATGATTCTTTCTAGGAGTTTACCAGTGAAGGGGTAGAGAAATAATCATTCAAGGGGATGGAAGGGTTTTTAAGGCTAAGGTTGACCTGAGCAGGACTGTAGGTATGATAGGGAGAGGCTGACAGTGAAAGAAAGAGAAGGCTCCTCTTTCAACAAAGATGGCAGGGGATCAGATCAAAGGTACAAGGGGGAAGGACTGGTTAAGTCATAACAAGAAAAACAGTCACGTCCTCCTCTGTGATTGAAACACAAAGAACAGATGTTGGGGAAATGGAGAAAGGTTCCAGGTGTGGAGGAAGGCGGATGAGGGTGCTCCAGTGGGTCACCTCAATCAAAAGGGGAGGCCAGACCATGTGCTGAGAGGCTGAGGATGGGGCTGGAGGCTTGAAGAAAGAAGTCTGGACCACCTCCATGAGGAATGAGATCAATCTAAAAGGACTCAATGCCCTGCAGCAGGAAGAATCCAGTTGAGGTTAGAGAATATGAATCGCTGGTGGACCCAGCAAAGATAATGTCAACGTGGTATCATTGAGCAGCATTCAGCCGCTCAACAATCCCAATCCGACCTGAGAAGGCAGACAGCAGGAATGGTCTTGAAAGAGGATGAACAAGGTGAGAATGTCAGCAGGAAAGAGGCTCAAGGTTCGAGGGCACTGCCTTGTAGGGCAGTCTAAGTAAAGGGTGTGTGTCTCTTCTAAGTACCCCAGAGATATGTGCAATTTAACTTTTTAATCAATGACTTGGACAAAGGCAATTCAGTTAATTGTTGCTGAATTCACACATGATACAAGGCCAGGAAGGAGAGTTAAGACATTGAATGACAAAGTCGGGATCCAAAAAGATTAGATTGTTGAGTTAAAACTAATATGATGAAATTTAAAAGATATGAACATGGAGTCTTGGGTTAAAAAAAAATCAACTTTGCAAGTACAGCATTATGTGGTACAGTAGACAGAGTGCTGGGCCTAGAGTCAGGAAGACCTGAGTTCAAATTCATCCTCAGATAATTAGTTGTATTACCTCAGGCAAGTCACTTATCCTCTACCTGCCTCAGTTTCCTGATCCGTAAAATGGGGATGATAATAGCATCTACCTCATAAGGTTATTGTGAGGGATCAAATGAGATAATATATGTAAAATGCTTTGCAGACTTTAAAGTCCTACATAAAGACTAGCCAGCTGTCATTAACATGGCGGTGACGGGGGGGATGGCTAGGTAGTTTAACTAGGGAAAACAACAGCAATGACAACGTGGGATTTTGGTAGACCAAGGGAAGGTAAAAGAAGAAAAAATCAGCCCTCAGGTCCTCGAGTGGCTGTGTGGGTACGAGCACCCTTTATACAGGCTGGGCTGAAATCCCTTTGGAGGGACACGGGAGCCACCCCTGGGATTCGACTGGCCTGAGGAATTCGGCTGGAATGATCAGTTTGACTTCCTTGCTCCCAAAGGCGTAAAAGGGGGCAGCTAGGTGGCACAGTGGAGAGAGCTTGGCCTTGGAGTCAGAAGGACCTGAGTTCAAATCCGGCCTCAGACACTCGACATTTACTAGCTGTGTGGCCCTTAACCCCGACTGCCTCACCAAAAAACAAAAACAAACAAAAAAAACCCAAAGGCCCAACCTATGTGGAACCGGTACTTCAGAGGTTTCAGGGGTATTTCTGTCACCCTTTAGATTCCTCTTCTTGGCCCTGTGCTGCTGACTGCTGGCATGAATGAGGAGGCGGAAGGGAGTAGAGTTTTATTTTGAATTTAATTAGGAATTTCTCCTTTTTCATCTTATCACAAGTAAGGTGGTTTTTATTTCATTTTCTGAGGACTCGATGCTCCTAACCCTGAGCCTGAATTTCTGCCATAGCTCAGTGTAGAGGCAAAGTGTCCAGGCCTGGGGAGGGGCTATTTCCTCCGTCTTTAGCCCAGTCACACCTAGAACACTGCGTTCAGGTCTAGACACCATGCTTTAGCAAGGACATTGAGAAGCTGAGGAACATACCCAAGAGGACATGGTCAAGGATGGGTCAGGGGTCTGGGATCATGCCCCATGAGCATCCCTGGGAATGTTTATCGGAGGGAAGAGAAGACTGGGGGGCAGGGGATGGGACGTGAACATGAGAGTCACCTTTGAGTGCATAAAAAACGGTCACGTAGAAGTAGAATTAAGATTATTCTCCTCAGCCCTATAGGCTAGAAGTTGGAGCAAAGAGAAGACAGTTCTGGTAGGGCAGACCTAAAGGGAAATGTGACCAAGAGAGCTCTCCCAAAGTGGAAAAGGCTGCCTCTGGAGGGAGGGGCCTCTCCCTCACTGGAGGTCTTCATGCAAAGGCAGCATGAGCCCTTCTGGGGCATATCCCAGAGCAGGCCTTGTCCGGTTATGGGATGGACAAGGTGGGGTCTGAGATCCCTTCCACCTCTTAAGACTCTGTCAAGAGGATTCTAGCAGAGGATGGAGGACTGGGATGGATTTAAGAACTGGAGCTCAGAGTGAGGCCAGAGGCGCATGTTAGGAAGCGTGAGGCCACGAAGGAGATGCTGGGACAGCAGACTGTGATCAGCAAAGGGGCGACTGCAGAGTTCTATTCAATAAACATTTACTAAATTACAACTCTGTGCTAGGCGCACAGAGGTAAAAAGAAGCAAAATCATTCCAGCTGACAGGGAGCTTAGATGCTATTGAGGGTATACAGCATGTACTTAGATAGCAAATACAGTCATTTCAGTAGGGAGAAAGCACTAATGACGGGCCTTGCATCAGAGGCAGCACCAGAACTAAGCCTTTTTGAAGGAGGCAGGGTGGAGGAAGGTGGACATTTCCAGGCATGGAGACAGTAGCCTAAGCAAAGTCCCAAGATGGAATACCAAGTTTGGGAAACAGCCAGTGGTCCCGTCTGGCTGGAAAATAAGGCTGAAATGGTCAGTGGGAGCCAGAGGTCAGGCTGAGAAGCTTGTACTTGATCCTAGAAGCAACTGAGAGACAGAGAAGACTTCTGCATATGAAAGTGACATGATCAGGCTGGGGTCTTGGGAATGTCAATTTGGCAGCTTTGCACAGGGGACACTGGAGAGGGGAGAGATTGGAGGCAGGGAGACCCATTATTAGGAAGCTACTGCTAATCTAGGCAAAAATGAATGAGGGCCTGAACTCAGGTGATCATTGGGTGATCAGAAAAAGGATAGATATATGCAAAAAAAAATGAGAGGATAGATGTGAGAGATATTTTATAGAGAGAAATCTCTCCAATAATTGGATGTGGGAGGGGAAGGGAGAAGAAAGGGTCAAAGATGACATCAGCAGGACTGGAATGATGGCAGCTCCCTCAACAGAAATAGGGAAGTTTGGAGTAAGGAGGGTTAGGAAGGGGAAATGTCATGAGTTCTCTTTCAGACTCTGAGTTTGAAATGCAAATGGGATCTCCAGGCAGAGATGTCCAGCATGTGGCTGGTAATGTAGGATGGGGATATTAGGCCTGGATAGAGAGGGCTGAGGATAATGAATCCATGAAATGGGCGAGATCACTGAGAGTGCGAAGAGGAGGGCCCAAAACGGAGCTCTGGGGGAATATTCCACACTTAGTGGGTAGAAGATAGATGATGATAAGCCAGCACAGGGGTCTGAAAAGGAGCGGTCAAGCAGATTGGAGAAGAATCAGCATAAAGCAGGCCTGCACAACCTGTCAAAGGATTTCGGGCGACCTCAGAAAAATGTAGAGGATGCCGAAGGTTGTGCAGGCCTGGCATAAAGCAAGGTCACAGAAGCCAAGAGGAGGTGGGCCCAAAGTTGCAGAGAGGGAGTGAGCAGTTAAGGGATCACTAATAGAGTGTTTATGTTCAGACCCTGCCAATGTAGGAATTTATTTTCCTTGACTAAGAGAAACTTTTTGCAAAGTGCTTTCCAAATGTTACCTTCTTATTTTCCTCATTTTACAGATAAGGAAAGGCATATAGGCAGCTAGATGGTGCTAGATGGATAGAGAGATCTGAGTTCGAATCTAGCCTCACACACTTACTGGCTGTAGGACCTTGGGCAAATCACTTAACCTCTCAGTATCCTCAACTGTAAAATGGGGGATAATACAGCATCCACTCCCCAGGTTGTTACGGGGAATCACATGAGATAATATTTGGAAAGTGCTTAGCACAGTGCCTGGCACCGAGTAGGGACTATATAAATGCTAGCTATTCTTCTTAAGAAACTGAGGGCAACATAGGTTAAGTGACTTGCCCAGGGCCATATAGTTAGAAAGTGTTTGAGGCTAGATTTGAACTCAGGTCTTCCTTACTCCAAGCCCAACACTATGCATGTTTGTTTGAAGGGTTTTGTTTTCATTTTTTCTTTACATTTTTTTAATTGGGGGAAAGGAGAGAGCAGAAGAGGGGGAGAGAGGGAAGAAGGGGGGGAAGGAGGGGGAAGAGGGAGAGAGAATTTATGTGTGTGGTAGAGGGAGGAATAAGGTAGCCAAAAGAAGTTATTAAAACATCTTTTTTTAAAAATGTACAGAAGAGAGGAGGAATGTCAGAGAGTATCACAGAGAAATGAGAGCACTTTGAAAGTTACCTGCTGAATTTATTATAGAAATTAAAAGCAAAGCAAGCTAGTTTCATGTACAATCATCCTTTGTTCCACTATGTATACAGAAATGATCATTTTATTTGGTGTTTATCAAGTTCAGAATATTTTTTCTTAAGAAAAAAAAAAGAGCTCATCACACTTGTGGAGAGAGCAGTGTCAGTCAAGTGTTTGGGCTGGAAACCAAGCCAAAAAAGGGGTTGGGAAGTGGGGAAAGAAATGGAGGCAAGGACTGCAGACCATCAGGGTTAAACTCAAGGTCATATTTCAACTTAGAAAATCACAAATTCATATTATGTTTATTTTGTTAAACATTTCTCAGTTACATTTTAATCAGGTTTAGCCCCCACTGGGGAGGTTTGCAAGTCATGAATTTGACACCTCTGAGGCAGAATGCCCTTTCTAGGAGTCTGATATGGGTCTGTTTGATCAGCTCAAAGGGGACATAGATAGAAGATGATAACTTGAGCAGATGGCAGGGTCATGAGAATGTTTTTTTAAGGATGGAGGAGATACTGGCCTATCTATAGGCTGCAGGGAAGAAGGCAGGGGATAAGGAAAGCTCAAAGATCAACCAATCAATCAGGTACTGTGCTAGGGGTTAGGAATACAGACATTAAAACCAAAAAAGTCCCTATCTTTAAGGAGTTTACATGCTACTGGGAGGGGAAACAAAACAGGTAGAGAAGTCAACACAAAACATAAACAAAATAATTACAAGGTAACTTTTTAATTTGGGGGAGGGCTCAGAAAGAGGTGGCCCTTGAGTTGAGCTGTCATGTTTGACCGTGGACCAGAAGCCCCCCCAAAGACCTGGATAATACGCTGTGGGGGAAGGGCCAACCCCAAAGTGTCATTTTATCTTTCTGGCTTGTTTTGCCCCCATCCCAGAGTTTTACTCCAGGCAAATCTCCAAAATAAAGCTTAGGTCAGAGACAACTGAAATGACTGAACAACAAGGCTGTGAAGGGAAAAAAGTGAGGTCAGAGAAGGGAAGATGGACCAAGGGTGGGGTGGAGAGGTGCAGGGCAGGGTGAGAAGGAAGAACAGGTGAGGAGGGACCTTAGAGGTTATCTAGTCCTTAAGATCAAAGGATCATAGGTTTTAGAGCACACAGATCATCTCATCTAACCTCATTTTGCAGATGGGGAAATTGAGGTCCAGGGTGATGAAGTGACTTGTTTGTTAAAGGTAACACAGAGAAGTACCAGAGTCAGGGCTTGATGCCATGTCCCTTGAGTCCAAATGCAGCAATCTCTCCAATATACCAAAATCATAGAAATGGAAGAGTTTTAGGTGATGGTGAAATCTAAGGTGTCAGCACCTCTGTGGTTTGCCAGAGTAGAGTTGGAGTTGATGGGAATTGAAGAGATTAATGAACTGGGAGACTAGGGCATTATAAAGTCTGTTGGCATGAGCCAGGTGCTCAACTTCTGGAGGAAGGAGAGAATATGATCTGGAGCTTAGTAGATAACAACAACAAACATCTGGATAGGGTCTGATGATAGAAATGTTAAATGGAAAGGTGGTTGAGCACCGGTGCAGAGAGAGGGTCTCAAAGTGGATGACTCCTGGCTCCGAGTATCAAGGGACATGACATGAGACAGACTGGCCAGGACCAAGATGGTCACAAGGCATATGCTACCCTCAGGATAAAGCCAGGTTCCGGTTACTGCCTGAAGGTAGAAAGAATAGGAGGGGAAGAGATGGAAGATGAGGGAGAGCTTGTTAACAAAATGAGTGGAAATTCCACAGGGAACAATGGAAGGGGAAAGCAGAGGAGGGAAAGGAATTGAGCTGAGTTGTACAGGGATGAGCATTCTGGGAGACACAGCAGGGGAAACAGATTTCCTCTAAGTCAGGTGGAAATGATGAACCACAGGGATTAGTGAAGCAGGAGGTAGCAATTTGCCAGCAACAGGGCAAGGGGAGAATTAAGTAGGGAGACTATGACCAGGGTCTGCTCCTTTCCTGATTGAGCCCAATTCTTCAAGTCCCTCCCCACTTTATTTCACCTTCCACAAAGCTGCCAAAGGCCGGTATTATTCCTCAACTCATCAAATTCCAGTGGCTCCTTATTGCCTCTAGAATAAACATACAAACTGCTCTGTTCGGCCTTCACAACCTAGCCCCAAACCTACTTTTCCAGCCTCAATATACATTACTCCCGTAGGGGAACTAGTGCAGCCAGCCAGGCTCCTCCTGCCATTCCCCACACAACCTGTCAGTGTCTTTGCAATGGCTGTGCCTCCATCCCCATCTCTGCCTCTGAGAATCAAATACTTTCATCAGGAGTCAGCTCAAGCATACTCCCAAGAAGTCTCTTCTGATCCCCCACAACAGCCAGCGCCCACCACCCCAAACCGCCTTGCATTTATTTTGTGTTTGTTCTGCATATATTATGTAGACACATGTCTCCCCTGGGAGCTCCTTGAAGGCAGGGGCTAGGTTTTTCTCTTTTTGTATCCCCAACAACTAGCACCGTGACTGACAGACATTGGGAGCTTAATAAATGGTGGGTGACGGGCTGTGTCCCCAAAACATTAACCCTGCCTCCATCCCAGAGCCCTGCCCCGTCTACGGCCCCTTCTTTCTCCCAGAGCCCCGCCCCATTGATGGCTCCGCCTCCCCGCCCAGAGCCCCGCCCCGTCTGTGGCCCTTCCCCCTCCAGAGCCCCGCCCCACATATGGCCCCGCCCCCCGAGCTCCGCCTGTCAGTTACCTGGAGTTTAAGCGGGTCCCTAGCAGCTCCCGCCTTCCATCCCGGAGGCAGGCTCTGGAGGGCCCTCCGAGCCACAAACAGCACGGGGCCTCGACCTTCCCCCGCTGCCACCAGGGCCGCCGCGAACAGCAATGCCGTCTTCCCGGAGCCCGGCTCCCCGAGCAGCAGAAGGCCGGTACCTTCCCCAGTGGCACAACCTTCTCTGCCGACCCCTGCCCCAGGACTCAGCAGCTGCTGCAGAGCCTCCATGCCCGCTCTCAGCCCTCTCTCCGCGCTGGACACGCGACCAATCAGAGCGTTACTCTGCGCTAATCCCTCCCTCTTGAAGACGTTCCATTGGCTTAGACTCAGTTCACTTAGGCTGCTCGCCAGGGGAGCCCAGCGTTTGTCCAGCCCCGCCCCCCAATGGGCGATGATTCCACGTGATTTTTCCAGGCTTGGTGTGTAATGTGGGGCAGTGTCTTCCATGACGCCTCCTACTGCGCCCTTCTAGGTCACGGAGCCCCACTTCTTCATTTTCTCTTTCCCTCTTCTTTGTCTCTTCTCCAGTGCCTTCTGTCAGTTAAGCATCTCCTATTTTTCCTGCTTATAGTTTGCTTTGTGTATATTTGCATGTTGTCTCCCCAATTAGATTGTAAGCTCTTTGAAGGCTGGGACTGTATTTTGCCTCTTTTTGTATAACTAGCACTTAACACAACACCAGTGCCTGGCACATAGCAGGCGCTTAATAAATGTTTATTGATTGATCTTGCGTTCTCCAATATCTTTAAGCTCCATCTTTTGTCTGTACTGCATCTTCCTGTTTGTTTCTCAATCAAGTATTTATTAAGTACCTACTTTGTGAAAGCCCTGGAGATACAAGGACAAATAATGAAAAGATTCCTATGCACAACGAGCCTTATTAAACAAACACCTTCTGTCACTAAAGTGCCTATCAGCAGAAGCATAGACCAGAAGGTGAGAAAGAAAGTCAGTACCAAGTACCTGAAGCCTTCCAACAGGATAGAATGGTGAGCCAGGAGGATGAGATCTCCCTTCCCATGCTCCCCTTGTTTATACTCTGACTTTGAGCTGGAATCCCAGACTCATGCCTCTCCCACCTTATTCCATTTCTATGGTCTTTGGGTCAGTGAATTTCAGGAATCCCTGACTATATACAAAGAACTGGGAGGGTAAGAAGGAAAAGTTTGGGGAGATTGTTGGCAGCAGAAGGCACCATATAGAAAACACAACATTTTTCTTTTCACTTTTTTTCCCTTTTTTTTGTGAGGCAATTGCAGTTAAGTGACTCACCCAGGGTCACAGGGCTAGTTAAATGTCAATTGCCTGAGGTCGGATTTAAACTCAGGTCCTCCTAATTCCAGAGCCCGAACTCTAACCATTGGGCTACCTAGCTACCTTCTTTTCTTTTCACTTTTAAAAGTAAATGATATACACACCTATCAGATTGGCCAACATGACAAAACAGGAAAATGATAAATGTTGGAGAAGATGTGGGAAAATTGGAACACTAATACATTGTTGGTGGAGTTGTGAAATGATCCAACCATTTTGGAGAACAATTTGGAACTATGCCCAAAGGGCTACAAAAATGTACATACCCTTTGATCCAGCAATAGCACTTCTAGGGCTATGTCCCAAAGAGATCAAACAAATGGGAAAAGGACCCACATGTACAAAAATATTCATAGCAGCTCTTTCTGTGGTGGCAAAGAATTGGACATTGAGAGGATGCCCATCAATTGGGGAATGGCTGAGCAAGTTGTGGTATATGAATGTAATGGAATACTATTGTGCTATAAGAAATGATGAACAGGCTGACCTCAGAAAAACCTGGAAAGACTTATATGGTCTGATGCTGAGTGAAGTGAGCAGAACCAAGAGGACTTTGTACACAATAACAGCCATGTTATGCAATGACTAAGATTGTTAAACTGAACTCTTCTCAGCATTACAAGGATCTAAGACATCTCCAGAGGCCTCAGGATGGAAAATGCTGTCCACATCCAAAGAAAGAACTATGGAAGTTGAATTGCTATCACTTATTTTTACCTTCTTTCTGATGGTTCCTCCTATTGGTCTTAATTTTTACTTACAACTTCACTAATGTGAAAATATGTTTCATGGGTATGTAAATGTAAAGCCTATATCAGATTGTGCCATCTTGGGGAGGGTGAGGGGAGGAAGGGGGAGAAAAATTTTCAACTCAAAAGCATATGGAAGTGATTGTTGATAAATCAAAATAAATTAATAAAATTTTTAAAAAAAAGTGATATAGCCACAGTATGTTGAGTGCTTATCCAGGGGTGGGGACTTGCAGCCTGAGCCCTTATGTGCCTTCCCACCCCCTAGCTTATGCCATGTGAACATATGGGAGAGAGAGAAAAGATTCTAGTTGTAAAAGGGGCACACTAGAATTAGAGATTTCTTGCTTTTAATCATTTTGGGCAATATTTCCTGTCATCCCCTGGTTAAATTTCTAGCCTAGCCAGTGCTACCATGTAATTTGATTGGGATGTGAGGAGTAGTCTATCACCCCCTAGGGGTTAATAGAGGTACTTCAGCCTTTTGGGATGCTATGCTATATAAGACCCGGAGAGGAACTGAGGTGACTACAGGGGCCAGTAGCTCAAGGAGAATGAAGCTTGGTGGGCAAATCAGGTATATCACTCCATTGATGGAGTTGTCACAGTGTATACACACATACACAAATACAGTCCAAATGTCTCCTGTGTATCTCTCTTCCTTCTCATAGTCGAACTCCTAGAAAGAGCTATGTTACTTTTCTCCATTTTCCTCTCAGTCAACTACTTTCAATATGGCTTCCAATAGCATCACTCAGTGGAAACTGCTCTCTCCAAGGTAATCAATGTTTTCTTAGTTGCCATTGTATTGACTTTTTTCTCAGTTCTCGTTCTTCTTGACTTCTCTGATGTGTTTGAAGCTATTGGCAATTTTGTCCTCCAGGATTCTCTCTCTCTTGGAATTTTATGAGCCTATTCTCCTTTTTAGGGGCAGCTAGGTGGCGAAGTGGATAGAGTGCTGGGTCTGGAGTTAGGAAGACTCATCTTCATGAGTTTAAATCCGGCCTCAGACACTAGCTGTGTGACCCTGGGCAAGTTACTTAATCTAGTTTGCCTTAGTTTCCTCATCCGTAAAATGACCTGAAGAAGGAAATGGCAAACCACTGCAGTATCTTTGCCAAGACAACCCCAAATGGAGTCATGAAGAGTCAGAAACAACTGAACAACAACAGCAAAACTCTCATTTTTTCCTGACTGTATAATCATTTCTTCTCAATCTCTGTTGCTGATCATCATCTCTGTCACATCTCCTACTTGTGTGTTTACCCTCAAGACTATATCCTGGGCCCTCCTCATTTTTCTCTCTACATTCTCCTTTGGGGAGCCCATCAGCTCTCATGGATTCAACTATCATCTCTATGCAGATGACTCCCTGGTCTATATATCAAACCTTCATTTCTCGAATTCCTGGCTGGCATTCACCAGATGAAGATTAGACATCTTCAACTAAATGTTTCATAGGAATCTCAAACTTCACATTCCAAAACAAAGCTCATTATCTTTCCTTTCAAACTCACTCCTCTTCTTAACTTCTGTATTTCTCCTGAGGGTGTGACCATCCTTCCAGTCAGCTGGAAGCACAGGAACCCTGGGAGAGGCAGCGTCCTCCCTGATTACTGGTTCTGTTTTCAGACCAGCTATCATCTGGGGAGGTAACTCCTGTGGAGAAGGAGCCAGGCATCCTCATGGACTGTCTACCAACTGTCACTCACTGGGCAGGCAAGCCAGCCTAGCTGAAGCAGCAAGACACCGTTGGGGAGAGATAGGAGGCAGCATGTGCCAGGCGGGCAGACTATTTCTCTACCTTAATCACCATATCCCCTCAGACCCTGATGGAAATAGCCCAGAATCCTGAACCCAAGAGCCTTGGGAATGGCGATAACTCCAGGCAAGTGCATTTAGCCATTATCCTGGGAAGCAACTGCTTGGGTGCTACCCACAGAAGACCCAGAAAAGAAAATTCTTGTCACCAAAGTCTTTGGCATTATCAAATGGTTCAACATCAAAAACTGATATGATTTTATTAATGGGAATGACATTGAAAAAGAGTCATTACCACCTGCTTTGCTGTGTACCCTAAGGACCATGGGACCTTTCTATCCAACTTGCCCCTGAAATCTCCCATATGTGCTGTCTCTCCCATTTTGAATGTGAGCTCCTTGAGAGCAGACATTGTCACATTTGTATTCCTAGCATTTAGCACATTGCTCTACACATAATAAACACTTCATTCATTCATTCATTCGTTCATTCATTCATTCATTCATTCCTGGTTTCTAATTTCAAAGTTTCAAAATCATTCCCAATTCTTTACTCTCCCTTACTTCTCCATTTCTAATTAGTTGCCAAGTCTTACTGGTTTTACTTCCACAAAATCTCAGCCACCTCCATAGTCCAGGTCTTCATCTCATTTGGCTTAGATCATTAAAGTATTCTCCTAATGGGTCTCTCCTCTCCAGCCCAACCCTCTAAACAACTACCCAATGAGTATTCCTAAAGGGACATGAACATGGCACTCTCCTATTTGAGAAAATTCAGAGCCTTCTTATTGCCTGTGAAAGAAAATACACACTCCTCTGGTTGGCATTTAAAACTCTTCATAATCTTTATCTTCAGGCTAGTTTCACCTTACTCCACCTCACACACTCTACATTCCAGCCACATTCCATCTCTAGTAACCATGGCTCTGTACAGGCTGTCCTCTCGGTGCCTGGAATGCACTCCGTCCTCACCCCAACCTCTGGAATCTCTTATTTCTTTTAAGTTTCTGCTCAAGTACCTCCTACTACTAGAAGTCTTCTTGATTTCTCCCCTCCACTTACACATACTTGTAATGCACCCCCCAAACTAAAATTACTTTGTGTTTAGTTTGTGTATGTAAGGCAGCTTTCTACTTGGGTCTGTAGCTGTTTTCCTTCCTGTTTCCCCCCGAGATCTTCAGACATCCAAGAGAGATGGAAATACAGAATTAAATGGCCCTGGGATAGGCACTACCATAGATGGCAATTGCCAGAGGTCGTGCTGATCTAAGAGGACTTAGGTTATCTTTTTTCACTTTTAAAAATATCTATTTAGTACAAGTATTTATCATCTCTCTTTCCTATTGTGCATTGAACAGTTTTGAAAAAGAAAAAGAAAATCCTCGTAGTGGATATGGGTAGGCAAGCACAATAGTTTCCCATATTGCCCATGCCTGAAAATACATGTTTCCTTTCTGGCAGGAGTTGGGTGGTGTGTTTCACCTTCCGTCTTCTGGACTCATGGCTTATCATTGCATAGATAAGGGTTCTCAAATAATTCAAAGGTATTTTTCTCTATAGTGTTTTTGTCACTATATGATTGCTCTCCTAGTTCTGTTCACTTCACATCAGTTCATAAAGGGCTTCCCAGTTTCCAGTGAGACTATCCATTTTGTTATGTCTTATGGCACAGTAATATTCCATTCCATTCATATTCCATAATTTGTTTGGCTATGCCCCAGTTGGTCAAGCAGGGCATTCTTCAGACTATTCCTCACCAGATGGAGATATGGCTGCTTCAGGTTCCTGTCGCTGAGGGGGCCTTGGATGGTTTTCCC